TTGCTTGTTTTGTGTTTTCTTGGGCAGAGAAACTTTGAATGGCTTACCAAATATCAAGAAATACACATGTTGGAAGTACAAGACTGATATTGTTGGAGGACTATATGTTTGAGAAATATTTTTGCAGGAACCAAAACATATAGTATAGTGTTTCAATTTTTTTTTTCTTTACTGTGTTTACAGAATTTGATTTTTTCAGATATCAAAAAATAATTAACTTTTTTTTAGGAGTTGCCTCGGAGTAAAGAGTCTTGGAGTATTCAATAAACAAATCAAAGAGATAGTTAAAGTTAACATAGTCAATTTTTAATGTTAATTAATGTTAAAAGATGAATTTCTTAATATGTACGAGAATAACTAAAAAAATAATTAAAGTAGACACGGATGAGTATTGTATTTAGGGAATTTTTTGTGTCCCCATTATTTTTCTTTTGTTAATTTTGCTCTTCTATCATTTTGGCTTTTTTCTTTGTCTAGTGGATTTCACTTTATGTGGATGGAAGAAATGCATCCAAAAGTAGTCACAAAAGGATGGTGTTTAATTTTTCCCTCCTTTTTATCTTTTAGTATTCTTCTTTGGCCTATGGGTTTCACTTTGTGTGATTGAAAAATAGGCAAGCAAAATACGAGTGATGTCTCATTTTTTATTTTTATTTTCGGATTGTTTAATCGACTTTCTTTTCTTTCTGATTTGAAGAGAAAGAAAGTGAAAACAGGATTTTGCAAAAAAACAGATAATAATTACTTAATTAGTGGTCATTATCACATGTAGGCAACATAATACTTAAAGGATAATAAATATAAATGCACCTAATGAATTGAGATCCAAATAATTTATTAAATGGAAACACACAAGCCTTACTTAAATAGTACCCCATTTTCACTACAAACATAAATTAGAGGTATGACGCATATAACACACAGATAGAATTCTAGAAAAATACAAGACTGCGCCAAAAAGGTTAAGAAAACAAGGCCATGGCCCATGAGGTCCCCTATGGTTTGCCTTATTAAAAGGGACGCTATCAAAATAATAATTAAAATATATATATATATATNTAATTTTTGGCGCGTGTTAAAAGTGATAATGCGCCTGTTAAAAGTCACTTCCAATAAAAATTGAGTGATATGAAAATATATATTAATTAATTATAATATGATAATAATTATATTTTTAAAAATATATATTATTGGATTGATGTAAACACCTGATACTAATAAATTTGTCCGGGCAAAAATAAGATAAAAAATAATCATGATCAAACAAACCATTTAATGACATACGATTAATTTGCACACTAAAAAATTTTTGGAGCAACGATAAAGTTATTTTCGCATGACTTATAGGTTACGAGTTCGAATCATAGAATCAATTATTAATACTTTTACTAGAGTATGTTACCTACATCATATCCAGATGGGGTGCATCCTTTCTTTGAATCTTGTAAGAATACGAAATGTTTTTTGGACCGAACTAATTTTTTATTTTATTGATTTGCACAATCTGAGTTTGCTTCTTATCCACAAAGAGTTCACACCCACGTGTCTTTCCTACTTGGAAATTGCATCATCATTCATTAATATGCACAAACTCTGATACTACATAGATTTAACCAAGAATAGGATCAGTCAAGAACCAATTCAAAATCAAATCTTTCTTCTCCCTTTTGAGGAAAAACAAAAAAGCAGAGGTCTAATGGGTAAAGGAGGAAAAAGTAATGAGGGTGAAGAAAACATGGCTGCTTGGCTTCTTGGTGTTAACACCCTCAAGATTCAGCCTTTCAATCTCCCTCCTTTGGGTACTATGTTTTCCTCTGCTCTTAGTTAGAACTTATTAGTATCTATTATTACGAAGAGGAGTTTAGGCGTAACTGGTACAGTTGCAACCATGTGACTACGAGGTCACGAGTTCAAGTCGCGAAAATAACCTTGTGGTCCGGCCCTTCCGGCCCTTCTTCGAACTCTGTGCATACCGGGAGCTCAGTTCCTTCTTTTAGTATCTATTATTATTATTTCATTAATTAGGTGTTTAAGTTGACTTTTAAGATTAGTTTGATCAATTCATAGTGTAATATGTAGCATTAGTTTTTCGAATTAAAAATAGATATAATTATGGATAGATGAAACTTTTGTTCCTAGAGGCAAAATAGAGCAACACGCACCCAAGAGTATAGCCTAGCATTCAATAAAGTGAATGAAAATCGTGTACCAGCAGAGTTTGAATCTCGATAGAAACAAAAAAAGTTTTGGTACATGTGTTGGTGAGAGGCAAGGGCGGATGCACATTTATTTATTTTTTACTAAATATATGTATTAATACTGTGAGGAAGGCGATAAGTAGGAAAAAATGACACCACTTGACATAAATTATCTTTTGGCACATTGGTTATGTGCTTTATTTTGCTCTAAGTTCGAACCTCAACTAGCATTTTTTGCAAATATTTGAGAGAATCTATGTGGTTAAAAATTGTGATGAAGTAGAATTTAATTCAGGACTTTTTCTTACTTAAGACTCAACAAAACCAATAGACTAAAGCTATTTCTTGTCTGGAAGTATGATAATTAAAGTTCTTATTCCCATTCGTCTATAAATTTCGACAACGCTTATAAAAATTCCTGCGTACGCAGGCAGTAGTAACAGTACATCACACTTATAAAAAAAAGAGTACAATAAAAGTAATTTGGTAGTATAATTTATTATTTGGTCTGACAAACTCCAACTTACTGTAATTAACAGAGGATATAGCTCTTTGACAATGATTTGATTTGCAAATTAATTGCTTGAATATAGGTATTTGTTCTAGGATATTATATCTATTGATTTTTCTTACTGTGTTCTTTTTTGTTACATCATAGGATCCCATGATGTTAGAGTTAGGATGAAAGCTGTTGGTATTTGTGGAAGTGATGTTCACTACCTCAAGGTAAAAGCTTTCTTCTGGTTCACTTCTTGATAGCTAATTTATATATTATATTTTTGTTGTATTTTGGGTTGATGACGGTCTATAATCTAGTCATCGATTGCTTCTATGACTAATGTGTATCAAACTAGCTAATTGTTTTGATGAATTAAACTAGCTTATCGGGATTTCCATTGTTCATATGTAAAATATTCTGTTATGTGGATTCGGATGTTGCGAACTGGCATGACTAAGTATCCGGTATGGTTACCATCAATCTTTTAGAATGTCTGTAGTGTATCTTGAAAAGTCGATGTGAAATACAAGATACCTATATCATATAATATATAGGACTATCTGTTTGCAGGGCAAATGAAGTGTCTCCGTTACATGGGTGAAATTCTGTTACATTTTCTTGGGTACAGTTTTTAGTATTCTCTATTATCAAACAATAAGCCAGCTCGAAGTTTTGTCGAGGATAATGCGAATGTGCATACTTCTGGACAGTTTGGCTAGACAGAAACTACAGATATTTTGTGAGCAAACCAACTGTAATTATTTGTCCGAGATTGAGTCTGGCGTAAACTGAAGTATGTAAATGAACTAGAGCCTGTGATAAGAACTTTCAGAATGTATGATATGGAACCTAACTCTAGCCCATGCTCTTTGAGCACCAACATGATGCTATAATAATGTTAAACAAAGTGTCACACTTGAGAAAAGTCAGTAAGCTTCTGAACCTTTGTTCTGACATATGATACTTGTGTGAGTTGAGATTTAAGAAGTCTGTTTGGCCCCTCAGTTTTACGTTAGCGATGCCTAAAGTTCTAGTATAGCTACGCTCTGGAAGAAAGAGTACATAATGGTTTGTTTTATTTGCTGCAGTCATGTGTGATCATATTTTCTTCTTATTATGAATGAAGGTGTTTGCAATCTTTTCTTCGCCCAATACTGACTACAGCACCCTTGGATTTTCTGCTAATGGGAAAATAACTTTTTGAGTTTCAGACCTTGAGATGTGCTGATTTTGTAGTTAAAGAACCAATGGTGATTGGGCACGAATGTGCTGGGATCATAGACGAAGTTGGTAGTGAAGTCAAGACATTGGTTCGTGGTGATCGTGTGGCACTAGAGCCCGGAATTAGTTGCTGGAGATGTGATCTTTGCAAGGAAGGCCGATATAATCTCTGCCCCGAGATGAAATTCTTCGCTACTCCTCCTGTTCATGGTTCTCTCGCAAATCAGGTAAAAAGCTTACCTACTTCGGCCAGTTTTCTCACGATTCAAAGAATTTTCCTTACACTGATTTCACCTTTAATAAGAAGAGAATTGTGGTATTTAAGGCTTTTTGTATCTAAGGTCGGTCTTATAAAATTATAAACAGATACATTGTGCTAAATGCAGGGATTATGAAATGATAAATATTTGGACCGTGTTAAAATGCTAATTTATTTTTTGATTGCCTACAGGTAGTCCATCCTGCAGATCTATGTTTCAAGCTCCCCGATAATGTAAGTTTGGAGGAAGGAGCAATGTGTGAGCCACTTAGTGTTGGTGTTCATGCTTGTCGGCGTGCAAATGTTGGTCCTGAGACAAACATATTAGTACTGGGAGCTGGACCAATTGGGCTTGTCACACTGCTCGCAGCTCGTGCTTTTGGTGCCCCAAGAATTGTTATTGTTGACGTGGATGACTATCGTCTTTCTGTTGCAAAGAAGTTAGGAGCAGATGACATTATCAAGGTCTCAACTAATATTCAGGTCAGGATCTAAACTTCAAACTTCTTGCTGATGATCTCTCCTACGTTTCATATGGACGCTTGAGAGTGAATACAAGAGTAAATTTCACGTATTATCACTAAACTTTATCCATTATAGCAATAAAGTCACAAAACTATTTCTGTAATATTTATAGCAATTGAACTTTACCCACCATAAAATTAAAGTAACTGAACTTTACTGATATAGTGGATAGAGTTTAGTGACCATACGTGAAACTAAACCGTGAAATGTTGCAGGTGTTCTTTCCACTTCACTAACTGATATTTATGAACAGGATGTAGCTGCAGATATAGATAACATTCAGAAAGCTATGGGAGCTGGAATCGACGTGAGTTTTGATTGTGCTGGCTTTAACAAAACCATGTCTACCGCTCTTGGTGCAACTTGTCCAGGCGGCAAAGTTTGCTTAGTAGGAATGGGACATCATGAGATGACTGTTCCTCTCACTCCAGCTGCTGCGAGGTAATAATCGAGTTGGAGTCTGCTATATGACTCCTCACTGATCGTTCACTCCATTTAAGTCATCCCCGTCCAACATTACGCAAAATAAAAACCTAAATATAGGAAGTTCTAGAAGTTCTTTATATTTTCTACTGGCATATAAATTTCTGACAGATTCAAC